ATATTTATTTATATAAATAAATAAATACTTAAATACTGAAACTCTTTGCACATCTAATAATAATATAGATAAAAACTCTTTTTATATCAATTAATAAATATTTTTTTATATAAATAAATAAATACTGAAAATTCTTTGGCAGAGTTCCTGTATTTAACTCTAAAATTCTGGATTTCTAGAATTTTCAATTTCTATACCCATTCCTCCTTTCTCCTTCCTCCATGCCTCTATTTATAGACCTCTTAGTAGGATGATGACATGCGTTCTTTTCTGATAATTGCATAATCATAACTGGCCGGGCCGGTTATATTATGATAATTATTCATAAAAAATAACTATTCTTTTTATATTGAACAAAAAATAAGAGTTTTATATAGAATGTGATTGATTTTATTAGGTCATTTTTAGAATTTTATAGAAACTATTTTTACAAAAACTATTTTATATCAATTAATAAATACTTTTTTATATAAATAAATAAATACTAAAACACGTTGCATTATTTTATTAGGTAATTTTTAATTAATAAATATTTTTTAGTTTAATAATTCTTGTCTAATTAAATTTATTTTGATTTAAAAAACTCATAATAAATAGATAAATAAGTAATTTGTGTTAGAGTTTTATAGAAAATATTTTAAAACCTCTTTTTATATCAATTAATAAATAAATTTTTATATTAATAATACTTGTTTAATTAGATTTCCTTTCATTAAAAAACTCCTAATAAGAGTTTTATAGAAACTCTTTAAATATATCTTTGTCTATGATAGAGTTTTATTGAAAATAAAATAGTTAATTTGTGATGGGGTTTTATAGAAATTATTTTATTTTCTAAATATATCCTTGTCTAATTAGATTTAATTTTATTAAGAAACTCATAATAAAAACTAATTTGTGGTTGAGTTTTAGAAAAATTATTTTTTTTTATGTATCAATTAATAAATATTTTTTATATTAGTAATTCTTGTCTAATTAGATTTTCTTTTATTAAAAAATTCATAATAATAAATAGGTTAATTTATATTTTATTATGTAGATTGTAGTGTTTTAATTTTTTTTTTTTTGTAAATAAATAAATACTTAAATACTGAAACTCTTTGTATATCTAATAATAATATAGATAAAAGCTCTTTTTATATCAATTAATACATATTTTTTTATATAAATAAATAAATAATGAAATACTGAAACTCTTTGGCAGAGTTTTCGTATTTTATTTTAAAATTCTGGATTTCTAGAATTCTCAATTTCTGTACCCCTTCCCCTTCCCTCTATTTATAAACTTTTTGAATTAATAAGATGACGACTTGTATCTTTTTCTGATAATTACATAATCACAACTGGATCGGTTATATTATGATAATTATCCATAAAAAATAACTTTTCTTTTTATATTGAACTAAAAATTAGAGTTTTATATAGAATGTGATTGATTTTATTTGGTAATTTTAGAGTATTATAGAAACTATTTTTACAATAACTATTTTTATATATAAATAAATAAGTACTGAAATACAAACATTTTGCATGATTTTATTAGGTAACTTTTAATTAATAAATATTTTTGATTTTAATAATTGTTGTCTAATTAAATTTACTTTTATTAAAAAAAAACTCATAATAAATAGATAAATAGGTAATTTGTACTTAAATGCTGAAACTCTTTGCACATCTAATAATAGTATTATATCAATTAATAAATATTTTATTATATAAATAAATAAATATTGAAAATCTTTGACAGAGCTTCTGTATTTTACTCTGCAATTCTGGATTTCTAAGAATTCTCAATTTCTGTACCCTTTCCTTCTTCGTCCATAGGCTTCTTGGATTAATAGGATGATGACATGTGTCCTTTTCTGATAATTACATAATCATAACTGGGTCGGGCCGGTTATATTGTGATAATTATCTATAAAAAATAACTATTCTTTTTATATTGAACTAAAAATTAGAGTTTTATATAGAATGTGATTGATTTTATTAGGTAATTTTTTGAGTTTTATAGAAACTATTTTTACAAAAACTATTTTTATATCAATTAATAAATATTTTTTTCATATAAATAAATAAATACTAAAATATTGAAACACTTTGCATGATTTTATTAGGTAATTTTCAATTAATAAATATTTTTTGCATGATTTTATTAGGTAATTTTTAATTAATAAATATTTTTTATGTTAATAATTCTTATCTAATTAAATTTACTTTTATTAAAAAAAACTCATAATAAATAGATAAATAGGTAATTTGTGTTAGAATTTTATAGAAACTCTTTTAAAATCTCTTTTTATATCAATTAATAAATAAGTTTTTATATTAACAATACTTGTCTAATTAGATTTCCTTTTATTAAAAAACTCATAATAAATAGATAAATAGGTAATTTGTGTAAGAGTTTTACAGAAATTCTTTAAATATATCTTTATCTAGTGTGATGTAGTTTTACTGAAAATGAAAATAGGTAATTTGTGATTGAGTTTTATAGAAATTATTTTATTTTCTTTAAATATATCCTTGTCTAATTAGATTTAATTTTACTAAAAAACTCATTATAAAAGCTAATTTATGGTAGAGTTTTAGAAAAATTATTTTTTATATATATCAATTAATAAATATTTTTATTTTAATAATTCTTGTCTAATTAGATTTTCTTTTATTAAAAAATTCATAATAATAAATAGATAAATAGGTTAATTTATGGACCATTTGGTTAAGCACAATTGATTATAGATTGAATTTTAATTTTATTAGGTAATTTTGAGTTTTATAGAATTTAGATCGTGGGATGTAATAATTAATGAGAGCTTTTTATTGTGAATTAAACTCTTTTTATATTTTGTTAATTTGAATTTTATTAGATAATTTTGAGTTTTATAGAATTTATATCAATTAATAAATAAATACTGAAACTCTTTGCACAAAGGCCGAGAAAGTAGTACTACACTTCATCTTAGCCAAAAGACTAAGAAGGTTAGCCAAAAGGTCGACCCAAAAATATTTAGTGCTACACTTGATCTTAGCCAAAAGGCCGAGAATGTGTGATTATTATTTCTTTAGCTCTATAGTTTTATAAGAGGCTTTCATGTAATCCTTTTTACTTAAAACCTATGTAGGACTTTGTAATTTGAATTAAATTCTTTTTATATTTTGTTAATTTTAATTTTATTAGGTAATTTTGAGTGTTATAGAATTTATATCAATTAATAAATAAATACTGAAATACTTAAACACTTTGCACATTTAATAATAATATAGATATAGATATAGATATAGATATAGATATGACTCTGCAACTAAGGAATTCAAGTGTCATCCAATTGTTTGATTGTCATAAGATATACATTTAACACATTTGTACCAACATATATTATACACATACAATGTTAAAGCTATCACTAAATTATTAAATTTTATGCAAAGTATATATGTCGTCAAGTAATATAGCACATGATTTATATATATATATATATGACATAATTAGGATTATTCCTGCGTAATGGACAGGCTACTAAATCCATTAAGAATGGTCAAGACTTAAGACACAGCAAAAATGAAGTTTCTTTTTTCTCATTTATCTTCTTAATATTATATTGATGGAGTCCACCGACGATTACCTAATACATGCTTTAATTCAATCAACCCATGCAACATGTTCTTCTATAAAAGTGTAACAAATTATTATTATTATTATTATTATTATTCTTTTATTTTTATTGCTGGCCAAAATGAAGCCATTCACTGAATAAACTAACAAGCTCGTGTCAACTGAGTTTATGCTGGTTTGTTTGTTGAGGTTTGTTGTCCTAGAATCGAGTCTGATCAAACTCAGTTTTTGTTTGTGGCGATAGTTTGGGTGCTGTTTCGGTTCATGTATATTTGGTGGTCTTGGGGGTTCCACTTAGTGATTATGTTCATTGGGTTATCACCCAAATAGTTTGTAAAGGTCTTCCGCCTTTTTTTTGTGGTTATAAAATTTATCTAATGCATGCCTTTTTACACACGCAAATTCCATATCAGCTGGCTGCTAAGGAAAGCACCAGGTAGCCAATTGTTGTGATAACATTGGTGTTCTAGGAGCAGGTCACCTAATCAACTTTATTTAAATTACTGTTTCAATTTTACTTTTTACTTTAGTATGGTAATATACTATAGTTTTACATTTATCAGCAAATCCATGTAAATCTCTTCAAATTTTCAAATCACCATTTAAAAATGCTAAATCAGAAACTGTCACTGTTACGGTGTTACCATCACAAAAAAAAAAATGTACATGTGATTTTTTTTTGGTAAGGTCAGGACATATCAATGTGGTTATAGATATTGTTTTCTTTTCATATTCACAATTTTTAAGACATGCCTACACATGTAGGAAGCGACGAAGCGTCCCCTTATAAGTGCTAACAACTTTTTTTCCATTGACGTACGATGTCATATTTGAGAGGCTTAGACTAAGCAAGAGGAGCTGTCCATTAAGTTGGGAAGTCGAGGAGCCTGTGGAGAACATGTGCATGCGCGCACACACACGCATATATTACCTCTGTCCTAAAATAAATATCTCTTTTGAAGAACTGTGATTTATAGTTTTCATAATTTTCCAAAAGAAACATTTTGTTTGAAACAAATGAAGTATATATTATATGAGGGAGTCAGGGACGGAGATGTTAAATCAACCATTGTTCAATCAATTAAATTAAAAAAATCCCATATCAGAATCCAAATTGACAAATCCTTCCAATGGCAAGGCTCACTGTACTTTTCTTTTTCTTTTTTTAATGTTCTAATTGTATTAAATTATTTTGAAATTTATCAATATATATGCACATGCTAGTTAGCTGACACTCAAAAAGGAAAAACTTTAGCATTTTACTCATTTATCTATTAGCTATATTGGAATGGTTGAGTGTCCATAAATACTCTCGCATTGAAGTTCTTACAATTGCTATAGACTACCGATCAAAGAAGAAAGTGAAAATATTCTTCCAAAAATAGCAAAAATGGTAGGGGTAGGCCATATTGGGGTTGTAATATTGGGTGTCCTCGCATGTTTTATTTCAGCACAAGCTCAACTAAAGATTGGTTACTATGCTAAAACCTGCCCAAAAGCTGAGAAAATAGTGCTAGACTATGTCAATAAGCACATCCCAAATGCCCCATCATTGGCTGCAACACTTATTAGAATGCATTTCCATGATTGCTTTGTTAGGGTTAGTATCTGCATTGTTTAATTTCCTCTGCTTTCTCATTATTTTCATATTTAGTATGTTTGGACATAATAACACTTGAAATTTTCGAACAACGCGTGAGGCTTCCTTCTGATCTGTTCTTGTATTTTCCAGGGTTGTGATGCATCTGTTCTTCTGGATTCTAGTTCGAGCAATCAAACCGAAAAGGTTGCACCTCCGAATCTCACACTCAGAGGCTTTGGCTTCATCGACAGTGCGAAGAGCCTACTTGAAGCTGAATGCCCCGGTATTGTGTCTTGTGCTGACATTATTGCATTGGTTGCAAGAGACTCAATTGCTGCCACAGTAAGTACCAAACACAACCAAACTCGCAAAAAAATTGTTCAACTCTTAGTTGTTCTCCATGAATTCACTTTCTATTGGCAATGGTAGGGAGGTCCTTCTTGGAAAGTACCCACTGGTAGAAGAGATGGGTCGATCTCAGATTTCTCGGAAGCCATAGCCAACATTCCTGCGCCGAATTTCAACTTCAGCAGCCTCGTGACATCTTTTGCTAACAAGGGACTTGATCTGAAAGACCTTGTCTTGTTATCTGGTAAGCTAAACTATTACTCATTTTCTAGCAGCACTTAATTGTGACACGTAGAATAGAGATAAGGCTGCGCACATCTGACCTTCCCAGATTTCGTACTGACTGGAGTCTGTGTACTTGTTGCAGGTGCTCATACAATTGGTATCTCCTTGTGCACATCATTCTCAAACCGGCTCTATAATTTTACTGGTGTTGCTGATCAAGACCCTGATTTAGACAGTGAATATGCTGCAAATCTTAAGGCCAATAAGTGCAAAACGCCTACTGACAATACCACAATAGTTGAGATGGATCCAGGTAGCCTTAGGACATTTGATCTTAGCTACTACACACTTCTGCTAAAGAGAAGAGGTCTGTTTCAATCCGACGCAGCTTTAACCACAAACTCCACCTCAGTCTCATTCATTACTCGACTCCTTCAGGGATCACTTGAGAATTTCTACGCCGAATTCGCCAAGTCCATGGAGAAAATGGGGCGCATAGATGTCAAGACTGGTTCGTTCGGTGAGATTCGGAAGCAATGTGCAGTGGTGAATAGTTAAACAGTATTGGTTTGATTTGAGGCTTGAGTTGTGTGAACTATTTTGTTGCATTACCAATTTTTTTCTTCCCAGTATTCGAACTCTGGTCTTGTAATAAAAGTAAGATTCAATCACCCCAAAAAAAAAAACCTAATGAAAAATGAATCTTGTAGTCTTGGTACAATTTCTAGATTTGTGAACAATAAATAGGAGAGCAATGAGGGAATAGAAGACGGAATGTATAGCAAGAGATTTTCTCCTATGATTTTCTTTAATGATGAACACTTGAGTTTTAAATTATGTATTTTTACCTTGTATGGCACAATATTCTCCAAGACATGATTGATTCATGGAAAATGAAATCTTTCAAGATGCTTTAAGCCTTGTGTGTCTTCTAGAGTGAGTTGCATTAACCTAAATTAATCTGCTCCCTATGATCGAATTGGTGAAAATTAAAATTAATGTTATTTGCAAAAATTATTAATTCAAATCGATCCAATTCATAAAATATCAAATTAGATTCGGGACTACACTTTTCTAAATGGTCCAATATTTTATTTTTTGTTAACCACCCCTAATATAGATGAATTATGAACATGCAGTACCTCATTTTAAAAAATTACTTCATTTACTCTAGTGGCCAAACCAATCCAACATCAGTAGAACAAAACCAAACATTACATGACCAACCCACTGCAAAAGGAATTTGCGGAGCAGAGAAGGCACTGTGTGTTTGTAAAGAAATCGGGTAAATTTAGATTTAGGATTAAAAGAATTAGTGTGTATATAAAATATATATTTGTATAAATTATATTATTAACGTTGGATCAATTTCACGGATTAGGTCTGTGGTTTTCTAGACCCAAATTCGTAAACCAAACCAATCCTACATTTTCATAATTTATAAATTGGTAACCGAATCGTTTGTGTAAAAAATCAATCTAATTCATACAAATCGGGTTGGCAGATCAAATGGACAACCTAATAGTAACTTCTCTGCTCCGTAGAACCCTTAAGGGTCTAATCTAATGATCCTCTCATGTTCCTCTTTTTAGTCCTTGCTTTTAAATTGTCAACAGAACAATTTTAAATCTTTAATGTAATAATTTTAAATTGATAAAATAACACCAAAGTAAAAATTTTAATTTTAATTTAATGGTGTTGGTGTGTTTGGGTTGAGGAATTGGAGAGAATCGAAATCCACCTAAGTCCTTTATCTGTTTGTTGCAGCTGTGGTAAATTTTTGTTTAACTAAAAAGACTTTCATGTTCATATAGGATCACGAACCCTCAAATTACTTTAGAAGTTAATAAAACACCGTTAATTGGTATCTAAATCTATTATGCTGTGTTTGACATAAGTAAAATTGAAGTTTTGAAATTGAAATTTGTGAAATTGGCGAAAAGTAACTCATAAAATTAAACCAAAATTTTCTCCAATTCCATCAATTCCGATTCCAATACTTTAATTCCACGCTGCGAAATACTATAATTAGGATTCAAGGTCCGGACACAATGAGTTTGAGAATTGCTACTTGCTAGGATGAAAAAACTAAAATAAGGTTGCATTACCTAAGTCATTAGGGAGTAGAGCAATTAGTTGAGAAACAAAGTATATTATTATACATTTACGTGCAAAATAAATTATTTAATTACAATCAATTTTTTTCTAAAAAGTGCGTTCTTTATTATTATTATAGAAATAGAGAAAAGAAAATAATTGGGTAGCTTTAAATATTTTAAAATAAGCCCAACTAAAATTAATTGGTCTAAGTAATCTAAGCCCACTATACCACTACCGGCCCATTAAATGTCGAAGAGTCGTATGGCCGCAATCCCCTACTCTGAAACCCTAGCACGCACAAAAACCTATATGATATCTATATATATACACGAAACTACCAATTGACTTTCATATCTCTATAGTTTCTTTCTGCCTCTCCTCTGTTCTCCTCTCCTCTTCTGTTCGTCAGTTTTTTTTTCCAGTTCTAATTTAGGGCTTTATTTTTGCATTATAATTCTCTATTTTAGATTTAATCTTTTGGGTTTGTTTGTTTTTTCGTTTAAAGATATGTGTTGGTGTGGTGATGAAGCTATTTGTGGACTAGAGTTTCTGACTCTGGGTAACCCAGAAGTTGAAGACAAACCCTTGGCTGTCTGAGCACGCTTTACCAAAAATCTTTTCACTTTTGTTCTCTGTTTTGAATCTAGAATCATCTGGGTATTTTGGGAAAACCCCCTTTATTTGATCTATTAGAATATTAGTTCTCTGTTTTGGATCTAGAATCATCCTGGGTATTTAGGGAAAAATCCTTTTATTTGATCTATTAGACCTTCACTTTTTTATTATTGATTTTCCAAGTTTTCAAAAAATAATTATTGTTGGAATATGTTTACAAATTAGGGTTCATGTAAAGTGGCTTATGATGATAATTTAAATTATCTTAGCGGATTTCAGTGAGACTATTTGTCTATGATCTGATTGTTACACACACTGAAGCCTTTTTTTGACCATATTTTTCATATATATATTTGTTTATTTTATTAGTTTCATGGATATATAATTTAATTTAGTAGAAATACAATTGATGCTGCAAAATTATTATTCTTGTAATTTTAAAGTGATGGGTTAAGAGGAATGTGGATGCTATGATGAGATGAGACACCTATGGTGTGTTTTAGGGCAGTGGGATTGGGGGCATTATTATTATGTCTCTGCCGTGAGCCTTTTTAATAAACGACTTCTCCTTCCACTGAGCACAGACTCGTTTCTCTACCATCGTTTTTCAATATGGAAAATTGATGATCACACAATATTGGTGTTTTGTGTGTGTTTTTGTAATAGTATGATTAATTGCGTCCATTACCAATTCTGGGGGATAAATTGTTCCTCTTGGGTATAATGGCTTGGACGCTACATTAATCTTTAGTGTGGATATCCGGATTTATGGTTTCTTCAATACCATTTGGATCGTGAAACGCCACATACATTTGTTTTTTTGGCTTATTTTAGTATTACATGTAAATGCCCGTGTTTATTTGTTTGGATTTATAATATTTTTAAAAATATATTTTTTTATTTTTTGGTGTTTGTTTGGATTTAAAATATTTTTAAAAAATTGTTTTTTTATTTTTTGGTGTTGGTTGTTAATGAAATATTTATAAAGAAAATAAATATATTAAAATTTAATAAAAACGACTTATTTATCAATTTTTGACAACCTCACCAGCCTTAATGTTCTCTGATGGCCTTAATGTTCTCTGATGTTACATGGCAGCCCAAAACTACCTGTGGTGAGTCTGTTGACTGGTGACGAATATAAAACTATTCATCCAATTGAATCCGCATAGTTTACAGCTAAATAACGAACCATGTAACATGTAACATTATTTGGAGGGGTTAAATTTTGGAAGTAAGGACTAATGGAGACGGGGTTTGAGGACTTTCTACTAGTTAACATTTTAAAAGAGTAAAAATAATCACTTTTAAATATATATATTTTTTATTACATTATCATATTTTAAATATAAAAAAATTAAAAAGTAACTTTCATAATAAATTAAACAAATTGATAGTAAGGAAAATTTAAGAATGATAGATTCTCTATCTTTAATTTGTTTTCTCTATTAATAGTTATATATATATATATTCTCCTCACTAATATTTGTAAATTAACTTTTTGGGGGTAAAATTAAGAGAAAAACCGTGTGGGTTTGGTGATTATGACCTACTGACATACAGGAAAGTAATAAAGTGACCAAATTGTAAGGATCATGAAGATATATAGACATATTCATATATTAAGATCTTGTAATATACAGTTGATTTTTTCTAAGCAAATAAGCAGCCACCTTATAAATCAAAACCTGAGATGAACATTTCTTAACAAATATGTTAAGACATGTCTTTGGAGCTTTCCAAGATCTGAAGGATGATCCTCAGAGGAACATAGTAAAATTACCCAAAATTAACAAAATTATGAATAAAAGATTACTTTGTACTCTTTTGAGATACTATCATATCTCCAGAATTATGAACAAAATTAAATTTTAAGTTCAAAGATAAATTAAGGGACATTATAGTATTTGTCTTCTTATATTTCATAATTAGATATATGTGATTATAGGTACAAGTTTAATTAATAAAAAATTTTGATCCGAAAATTCTTGAGGATAAATGGTAACTTCAGTCTAATAGAAATAAAATACTTGTAACTAAATTAGTTTGGTACATATAATATATGTAGAGTTAAAACTAAATTAATTTCTATGTATAAAAATATATATATATATATATATGAATTAAATTATAATTTAAAAACTTGTATACATAAAGACACTAACCTAGTTTTTTACCCAATAGTATGTTACTAAATACTCAGATTTATATATATCACTCTCAATCATTATTAATTGTGGAAGGAAAATAAAATAAAATTTTAATTTTGATATAAAATTATATACAATTAAATTAGTATTTATATGATCTTACAAGCAATTTACAAAAGAATGAAACTCATTTGTTATAGAAGTTTGTAGAGAAAGTGATGAGGGTGACATGGGCATAATAGGAAACTAATATGCGAAGGCATCACTTTTACGTGAAAGTAAAATTTCCCTGTGTTTTATGTCAGAAAAATTTTGAGGAAAATTAAGCAGTTGCAAGAAAATTACTTTCCTGACAATTTTCTTTTTCACGCTAACTGTTAGCATTTATGATACCACGATTTATGGTATAACTTACCATAATAGCCGAGATATGATAGACCCAAATCATGGAATGTGATTTACCATATTATCTGTGAGATATGATAGCCACAAATCATGTATTTGACTTTATTTACGCATATGTCTAGGCATAGAACATGCAATGATTTGATTTAGTTTCTTTTATTGTAATATGAGCATGTGCTCATTTTATCTATAAATACTAGAGCTGTGAATGGGTAATTTATCTCATTCAAGCCTTTACGTAATTCTCTCTTTTCTCTTCTTTTTATATATTTCTACTTGGTATCAGAGCCAACACATTTCCATACCTTTCAGCAGCCTTGCTACTTGTGCGACAAGCTACCTTAGGCTGTTTGTGACATCGTGTGACGTTGCCTACACATGTTTTTCTGTGTTGCTGTTTTGTGATCAAAAACAGGTATTTTTAAGTTTTACAATTTCTTTTTCACTCTTCTAGGGTTGGGTAAATTGGGATAGTTGGTTTCCAACACCTAGAAGGGCTTGGGTAAAAAAAAATTAGTTTACAAAGAGGTTCCGAATATTAAGGAGGAGGTTGTCTGGCTATATGTAAGCGGGCAGCGCTCCTTAAAAAAGGTATGTATTTGGATTTTTCGGGAATGGTCTGAGGAGACATTGTTTATGGTCTGAGGAGACCCTTTGATTTATTAACAGAATTTGTGGTGTTTTTGGAGTTCTTTTTATTGTCGTGTGACAGATTATGGCAGATTCAGAGTCCTCGACTGTTAATTCTCTTGGCTCACGTTCTATGGGTGGTGGTGCCATTTTTCCCACCAACTCATCAGAAAATCCAGGACTTCAAATCACCACAGTGAAGTTGGATGGTTCCAACTATTTGATTTGGCCACAGTCTGCCAAGATGTTCATTGGTGGCAAAGGCAAGATTGGCTATATTACTGATTCTGAGAAAGAGCCAGCTGAGTCAGAGAAGGCATATCCACAGTGGTTTGCAGATAACACTATGGTTATGTCTTGGCTAGTCAATTCGATGCAACTAAACATAGCTGTTAGCTATATGTTTATGAAGACTGCTAAGCAGATTTGGGATTCAGTTCAACGCACTTATTCTCAGAGGCAGAATAATGCACGAATTTTCCAGCTGGGGCAAGATATCACCAGGATTTCTCAGGGTGACTTGACAGTTTCAGGTTACATCGCCAAGCTTCGTGTTATTTGGGAGGAGATGTCATATTATAATTCCTTCCACTCTTGGAAGTATTCCTATGATGCAGTTTTATATGCAGGAATTGTGGAGAATAATCGAGTGTTTCAGTTTCTTGCCGGGTTGAACGACGAGTTTAAGTATGCTCGTGTTCATTTATTGGGCTTATCTTCATTCCCTACTCTTGAGGATGCATATTCCTATGTGTTGTCAGATGAGAGCCGCCGGACTCATCCATTAGGTGTTGCTTTTGTTGATCATTCTGCTATGGCAGTTCGGATTCCCAACCTTTCAGGAACTACACCATCCCAGTCAATTCAAAGCACTACCACCAGTCCTCCTCTAGGACGACAACTTGGACGGTGTGACCATTGCAGAAAAATTGGTCACATCAAATCTCGTTGTTATGCTCTACATGGACGTCCACCGCAACAGAAACAACAGCCTCGATCCTCTGCATATTTTGTTACACAACCAGTCTCATTGTCAACTCCTGACAACCCTGCCTCTACATCTTCTGCCACAGTTACCTTGACTCAAGCTGATTTGGACAAGTTCAAGCAATTCTTCAACCAAATGGAGGCATCATCTCAGCCAACCTCCACTTATGCCCACTCAGGTACTATTGCGTCTGCACATAGCGTATCTACATCTTCAACACCATGGATCATTGATTCTGGTGCTTCAGACAATATGACTAGTATGTCCTCACTCTTCCAATTTTATAGTATCTGCTCTGGCCAACGCAAGGTCCGCCTTGCGGATGGCTCTCCATCTTCCATTGCTGGGAAGGGTCACATATCAGTTACTCCTTCATTAACTTTGTCAAATACACTTCATGTTCCAAAGTTGACTACAAATCTTATTTCTGTTAGTAGCGTTACCAAACAATTAAATTGTAGTATAACGTTCTTTCCCTCTCATTGTATTTTTCAGGATCTGGTGTCGAAACGGACGATTGGCAATGGGCGTGAAGTGGACGGTTTATACATGTTGGATGCTCCTTTGTCACCGCAAGCACATTTAGCTTCATTTTTTAATATTGTTTCATCTAATAAAGCCCAGCTTATGCGTTGGCTCATGCGTTTAGGACATATTTCTTTTGGTTATTTGAAACATTTATTTCCTTCCTTATTTTGTAACGTGACAGTGTCAGATTTATCCTGTGAAACATGTCATCTGGCTAAACATGTTCGTTCCAATTATCCTGCTAGTGGTAATAAATCTACTTTAACACCTTTTGATCTTGTTCATTCAGATGTGTGGGGTCCTTGCCCAGTTACTTCTAGTCTTGGATTTTGATATTTCATGTTGTTCATTAATGATCATAGTCGTGTTACTTGGGTTTATCTTATGAAAACCAAAAATGAGGTATACACCATTTTTAAAAATTTTATGACAATGGTTCAGACTCAATTTGGTCGTACCATTAAAAAATTTCGATCTGACCAGGGTACAAAGTACACTTATGAGGAGATACAATGGTTATGTACAGAATTTGGGATTGCGCATCAGCTGGCTAATGTTAAAACTCCTCAACAGAATGGTCGTTCTGAGAGAAAGAATTGCCACATCCTTGACTTAGCCAGAGCAATCTGCATTGGCATGAATGTTCCCTAGTCATTTTAGGGAGATGCAGTTCTTACCGCTGTTTACATCATTAATAAGACTCCTTCTAGGATTCTTAACTTTGAAGCCCCACTCTCAATCTTACATCCCAATTCATCTCTATTTTTTATTCCTCCACGAGTCTTCGGGTGTGTGTGCTTTGTTCAGCAATTGGGGCAAACTCGTACAAAGCTTGACCCAAAGGCTTTGAAGTGTGTGTTTTTGGGCTATTCTCACTCTCAAAAAGGTTATAGGTGTTACCATCCTCCCAGTCGTCGGCGATTTATATCCATGGATGTTTCTTTCTTTAAGCATACACCATACTATAGTGGTTCAGTTGGTTCTCAGAATGAATGGTTCCCATTGAATATAATGGATGATCACCTTCTTCCGTCTTCAACTCCTCTACCACTACCTGTTTCTTCTTCTATAATTCCTCCTCGCAATACCCCTCCAGCAGAGGGAATTGTTCCTTTTTCACAGGTTTATAATCGGAGATAATAGGTACAAGCTTCTACTCCCACGATCGACTGCCCTGTTCCTTCGACACCAGCTTCGCCTTCTCAAGCTATTTTTTCGCTTGATGATCACCCCATTGCTCTTCGAAAGGATAAACGTTTTTGTACTTACCTTATTTATAATTTTGTTTCTAATTATGCTCTCTCACCCCCCTATCGGAGTTTTCTTGTTTATGTTGCCTCGATTCCTGTTCCTTCCAGTGTTGCAGATGCGCTAGCACAACCTCAATGGCGTGATGCTATGACAGAAGAACTACAAGCACTTGAGAAAAATCAGACTTGGGACATGGTTTCGCTTCCTATTGGACGAAAGGTTGTGGGTTGTCGTTGGGTGTTTACAGTCAAGCATAATCCAGATGGGTCAGTTGCTCGTTACAAGGCCCAATTGGTTGCCAAGGGTTATGCTCAGACTTATGGCATAGATTATCAAGAGACTTTTGCCCCTGTTGCCAAGATGAATACCATCCGTGTATTATTTTTCGTTGCTGCAATTCGATCTTGGCTTCTATTTCAGTTAGATGTTAAAAATGTCTTTCTTAATGGTGATTTACAGGAGGAGGTGTACATGGTTCCTACTCCGGGCTTTCGTACTCCTGCTCATTCTGGTATGGTATGTCGTCTTTGTAGTTTTCTATATGGCCCAGTCTCCTTGAGCTTGGTCTGATCGCTTTGGCACTGCTATGCTTAAGTTTGGTTTCCATCAAAGTGCAGCTGATCATATCTTGTTTTTACGTCATTCAGGCGGTAAGACAGTTGCTCTCATTATGTATGTCGATGATATTATTCTTACCGGCGATGATACTACCGGAATTAATGAGGTTAAGAGCTATCTTGGCCGTCAGTTTGAGATTAAGGATCTTGGTCCCCTATGATACTTCTTGGGCATTGAGGTGGCTCGCTCCAAGACTGGCATTTTCATCTCTCAACGCAAATATGTTCTTGACTTGCTTTCTGCTTTTGGTCAGCTTGGCGCTCATCCTGCTGATACTCCGATTGAGCAGAATCATCGGTTGGCTGATTCTGAGGGGGAGTTATTGTCAGATATTGGTGAGTATCAACAACTTGTGGGGAAGCTCATCTATTTATCCATGACTCGACCTGACATTGCTTATGCTGTAAGTGTCGTGAGTCAATTCATACACTCTCCTCGTGCCCCGCACCTTGATGCAGCTATTCGGATTCTTCGCTACTTAAAAAGGTGTCCAGGCCATGGTATTTTATTTGCTAATCATGGTCACTTACGTGTTGAGGCTTGGACAGATGCTGATTATGCAGGATTAATTTCAGATAGGAGGTCTACTTCAGGTTATTGTACCACTATTGGTGGTAACTTGGTTACTTGGCGCAGTAAGAAGCAGGATGTTGTCTCTCGATCTAGTGCAGAGGCAAAGTATAGGGCTATGGCTCTTGGGGTAGGTGAGTTGCTTTGGCTGAAAACCTTGATGACAGACTTATGCCTTCCAGTGTCGCTTCCATTCTCACTCTACTGCGACAACAAGTCTGCCATTAGCATAGCAGCAAATCCCGTTCAGCATGACAGGACTAAGCATATAGAGGTGGACTGTTACTTCATTCGAGAGAAGATCATCTTTGGTCAAATTTGCACTCCATTTGTTGCAAGCTCTCAGCAGCTTGCAGACATTCTTACAAAAGGCGTCAGGAAGATTGTGTTTGAGAATGCATTGTCCAAGTTGGGCATCTCAGATATCCACGCACCAACTTGAGGGGGAGTGTTAGCATTTATGATACCACGATTTATGGTATAACTTACCATAATAGCCGAGATATGATAGGCCCAAATCATGGAATGCGATTTACCATATTATCTGTGAGATATGATAGTCACAAATCATGTATTTGACTTTATTTACGCATATGTCTAGGCATAGAATATGCAATGATTTGATTTAGTTTCCTTTCTTGTAATATGAGCATGTGCTCATTTTATCTATAAATACTAGAGCTGTGAATGGGTAATTTATCTCATTCAAGCCTTTACGCAATTCTCTCTTTTCTCTTCTTTTTATATATTTCTACTCTAACCAAACTCCTAAAAGAGTTAAATACTTTCTTTTTCTTTTTCTTTCTATCTACTTCATGCTAACCAAACAAACTCTAACAAAGCAATAATAGTCTTCTCTTTGATGGAAAGTAAAATAAAGTTTCCTTATATTTGGTTAGCTATAAATTATTTTTAAGAAAGTTGTAAGAAAATATTAGTTTGTTAATTTGAATAACATCAAAAGGGAAAGAGAATTATTATATTTACCAAAATACCCTTTTAATTTCAAATATTAAAAAAAAAAAAAAAATTGTATTATATAAATTCTTTATATTTTATTTTAGTAAATAATAAAATATGGATTTTTTTTTATATATATTTTGTTTGTCTTGGTTTCAAGTTTTATGTTCCGAATAATCATAAATTAAGATATGAAGGTTAAAGTTAACAAATAGTCAAGTGTTTGATTTTTAGTAGGTGTCATTGATTTGTGATACGTCAAAACCAACTAAATCAACAGTTGTTCTACCTCCACCACCAACCTCCACTGCTACAGAGACTCCTCCATAGCTTACCCAAAAAGGTAATAACAACACATGCTCTCCACATGGTACTACCCCTACTCTCAACAATCAGCCTAGAAATACAGCCCAACCACCTCCACATTATACACCAACAGACAAAACAACTGTTTTACCCAAAGACAACACAGCTACTATACCAGTTATGCCACATCCAACAGATAAAACAGATGATTTACCAAAAGATTACACAGTTAACCCTTCATTACACCCTACCTCTGATACATTGACTTGGTCAAATGTAGTACAACTAGGCACAAACAAAATGAAGTTTGATTACTTTGCTCCTACTTCTGAATACTCAACTGTCATCGAACCACCAAGAGAGGTTGTTGATGAAGGACTGGCTTTCTGGTCTTCCTACCATTTGGTGGGGTTTTCCATCCACAAAAAACTTCCTTTCAAAGTAGTTCAGAATGCTGCAACAAAACTGTGAGAAACTTTTGGCCTCACTGATACAATACATAGGGAGAATAATTTCATCTTCAGGTTCAAGACTCCATCACAGGTGGATAATGTTCTCTCCCATGGCCCCTGGTGGATAGTTGGGTATCCCTTCTCACTAATGAAATGGAACAAGGTCAACCAACCTCAACCTGGCACAACTAGGTTACTTACCTATCTGGACAAAGTTCTTTAATGTTCCACCTAACTATTGGACTGCAAAGGGGCTAAGCCATATTGCAAGTGCTGCAGGGGAGCCTCTGTATGTTGATGAAGCTACAAAATCAAGGACCAAGCTGAAGTTCGCTTGGATTTGTGTTAACCTAGACCTCAGCAAACATCTCAAGCAGGATGTTCAGCTCAGAATGGATGATCTGTCCATGGTGGACATTAGAATTAAGTACCAATAGTTGCCAAAAATTTACTCCAAATGCAAGGCCCTCAACCACTTAGAAGCCAACTGTCCTCTTACCTACATCAATCACCCCCATAGGAAGGGTGTTGTCAACAACTCAGGCCCCTTTTCCCCTACAACTAAAAACTATAGTCCTGCAATTCAGCCATCCACTGAGTGGGTTACAGTAAGGAAGAAGAAGAACAAAGGAATTGCAAATGTTACCAAGCCCTCATCTTCTCTCACAGCAAAAGTTTCAAATATCAACCATTTCTCTCTACTACATCGACTTGACACCAATATTGAAGACTCCACAAACAACCTAGACTCACGATCCCAATTACCCCAAACCACATCCTCCAACAATACAATTGCCAGCAACTCCAATTCTAACTCACAGTCCTACACCACATTTTCATCCCCACCACACTCACCTCTATGTAGCAGGAAGCTCAATTTCTCTTCACCAAAATCCATTCCAATCACCACTCACAAACAAAGCACATCATCCATGCCAGTTCATTACTCAACCTCCACTGCCTCTCCAACCACATTTCCTTAACACAAGAAGTTCAGGGAACCCAAGAGTCTTAAAACAATAAGCCCCAAGCCTGTTAAGCATACTCAAGCAACCAGCTCTCCATTGACTAGTCATGCCAACAAATACCTCTCCAATCTATTGTTGCCTACGTTATCTCTGAGTGATCTAGGTACCTGTATTCCACCAACACAAGAAAAGAGAATGTCAGCAAGGAGTTTAAAGAAATTTACAAGAATGAAAGACAACATCTTTCAAGGGTTGATGCTAGAGGGTTCTTCAGCAAGCCCAAGACATCTTGGAGGTCACTTCTCTCCACCCTTCTCATGATTTCTCTTCTCACATGTAACATTAGAGGGTTGAACCAACCCTCTAAACAATCATACATTCTTATCTAGATAAGATACCATCCAATATGGAAATCCAAAGCTGTATGTTGAACCTCAACAAGAATAGAGCTCCTGGCCCTGATGATTTTAATGCATTCTTTTTCCAAAAGGCTTGGAGTATTGTAAGCAGGTCAGTCACAAAAGCAATCTCTGAATTCTTTAGGAATAGTAATCTCCTAGCTGAGGCAAACAATACATACATTGCCTTAGTCCCTAAATGTCAAAATCCAACCTCACTCCATGACTATAGACCTATCACTTGTGTTAATACCATTTACAAGTGTATCTCAAAGTTGCTTGCGGCCAGGTTACAATCAACACTATCAAACCTAATTGATCAAGCTCAATCTACCTTTGTCCATGGTAGAGAAATCACAGACCCTATCCTTTTTGCACATGAGCTACTGAGAAGTTATCACAAGCATAGCAAACCACCAAGGTGTGCCATCAAGGTGGACCTCAAGAAGGCCTTTAACTCAGTGAAATGAGACTTCATCCTAAGCTGCTTATCACTGCACAATTATCCTCCAAAGTTTGTCTCTCTCATCAAAGCCTATATCTCCTCACCCTCCTTCACTATAGCTCTTAATGGTGAATTTTAGGGATTCTTTAAAGGGAAGAGATGTTTTAGGCAAGGGGATCCTATTTCCCCCCTTCCTTTTCGTTATTGTTATGGATGCATTCTCATCTATTGTTGCCAACTATGTAGGAAGGGGGTCTTCATTTAAGTATCATTGGAGGTGTAAAGAGCAAAGAATCACTCATTTATCCTTTATAGATAACCTACTACTATTTTGCCATGGAGACATTTGTTCAGTCTCAGTCCTTAAGTCTGCTCTTGATTTCTTAACCTATCTAAAAATGTTGTGTACTACTCTGGAATCAATGATCACACTTAACAACAGATCTCCTCTCTACTTGGCATTCAAGCAGCATCTCTCCCAGTTAGATACCTTGGTGTGCCACTAATTTCTACAAATTTGAAAGTTCAGCACTATAGTTCTTTGGTATGTAAAATCACCGATAGAGTTACAAACTAGATTTCAAGGTCACTATCCTATACAGATAGGCTGCAATTGATCAAGTCAGTTCTAGTATCTACTCAGAACTATTGGTGTAATATTTTCATCCTGCCCAAGGGGGGTTATTGATGATCTAAACAAGATCTTTAGAAGGTTCCTTTAGTCAGGTCCAGAAATGAAATATTCAGGCTCAAAGGTTGCTTAGAGTAAGGTTTGCACCCCTAAACTTGTTGGTGGGTTGGGGATTCCTAACTTGGAAAATGTAAATAGGGCAGGAATCTTGAGGTTTATTTGGGAACTTCAAACAGATCAGTCCAATAGGTTCTGGATCAAATGGCGTCACTTTTATCTTCTGAAGTCTAGGAACTTGTGGACTCTAAACTTCTTATAGCCTTGCTCTTAAAGTTAGAGGAAAATGCTACAACTAAGGCACACTGCTAGGCTTTTCGTTAAACACTCTATTGGCAATGGAGCTACTACATCTTTCTGGTAGGGTAACTGGGCTCCAGAGGGGCCTCTATGCTCTAGATTCATAGCAAATCTTCTATCAGAGATGGATTGAATGAAAGAGCAACAGTTGACGGCTTTATTATTGATAACTCCTGGGTTTTCCCTACCTCCCTCACCAATGCCATTCCAGAACTGCTCACTCTACCTGCCCCTTGTACATCTAGAAGTAATACTAAAAGGTGGATTCCATCCCCTACTGGCAAGTACTCTTTTAGCCACACAGTTGCACAATTAGTTGAAGCCCTTCCTAATGTTCCATGGCACAACCTAGTTTGGCATTCCCTATCCATCCCAAGAATGAAATTCATGTTAGAAATTTATCTCTTTAATGTGGCCTTTACATTATTACACATATGATATATTAGATACTTCCATGAAGAGGGTTTTAAGAAATTAATTGGAAGGTGATCCAATATTAAGTGCACCTATATGAAAAACCAAAAGTGCAAAGATGGATACACTTCTAACTTGATTTGAGTTACATATATGCTCTTTTATTTATTAAATGATTAATACTTCACTAATGGAATTGGAGTTAGTGGTCACTTAATGAAGAGTTAAGTGATTCTTTAGTAACTCTTGAAGTTATTGTTCACTTAATGAACAATTAATGAAGAGTTAAAGTTAATAAAGAGTTAATAAATCTCTTGTAACTCTTGGTTTTCTTAGGTAAATTTAAAAGTCTTTGATGGAAAGACTAAAAAACTAAGGTTATACATAAAGGTCTCAAACCATACTCTCTGATGACGTGATTTGTGAAATGAAATATCACAATTAGTACCCATTAATTATAGCGAGAGAAGTGATTTAAAGATCTTATAATTTTACATTGGTTATTCAGAATAGACGGAACCTAACTTTTGGCTCAGTTTGAAGTTTAGTCAATATCAATAATTAAGGTTCAAAATCTCTTACTCATAATGGATCAAGGTAAGATATGTACTACTTCTAAATTTTATAACTCATGGTGCTTTTGTGCATCAAAGTTGAATCATAATGGGCTTATTATTGTTAAAGTAATTCTTATTATGTCTAACAAGTGGTATCAGAGACAGGTTCTCAATTTTGATGCATGAAACTTATATGAATTTCTTGAGTAACTCTATAGATTATTTTGATACTTGATTATGTATAACCCAATTAATGCCCAATATTGATGATTATATATTATAAAATTATTTTTGGTTCACATTATGAACAATTCAATTTTGAAATAGTATTGATAAGCCCAACGGAGTGTCAATACTATGAATAGTTGGATATTGTGAAATAATTAAACCATATATAGTTATGATCAGCCCAACGGTGGATCACTATGGTTAAATGAATGTTATGATTAATGTAAAGCATAGTGGAGTTTTTCTACCCAAATGTGATATAATTCTATAAGGAATATGATATGCATTACATCTTTGTCAACCTCATTTATAGTGACATAGATAAGGATGATTTTAATGTTTTATATATATATATATATATATATTTGAAAATATACTAATAATATATTATAGTTTTGCCCAACGAAAGAATTACCATTGCATTATTGGTTTCTTATGATGATATGGTAAATCTATTGATTTTTTATCTAACTACTTTCGATTTTAGTTAGATTTATGAAAAATTGTGGTGTTAAAGAAACTTCTCACATTAAGGAATCTACTCTAATTGTAGAAGTACCTTTACACAGATCCCAAAGAGAAAGTAGGCCTGCCATATCGAATGACTATGAAATTTATTTAAATAAGATTATGATATTGGCTTGGAAAATGATCCCATTTCTTATGCTCAAGCCATAAGTAGCGATAAATCAATTCTATGGATTAATGCCATAAAAGAAGAGTTGAAATCCATGAAGGATAATAAAGTCTGGGATCTTATAGAATTACCTGAAGGATCCAAAACTGTTGGTTGCAAATGGATTTTCAGAACTAAACGTGATTCTAAAGGCAATATTGAAAGATACAAGGCCAGATTAGTTGCTAAATGATACACTAAAAAAGAAGGGATTGATTATAAGAAAACATTTTCTCCAATTTCCAAGAAGGACTCCCTTTGAATAGTCATTGCATTAATAGCTCATTATGATCTAGAGCTACATCAGATGGATGTCAAAACAACCTTCTTAAATGGTGACTTGCATGAAGTGGTCTATAAGGACCAACCTGAAGGTTTTCAGGATAAAGGCAAGACCCACAAGGTGTGTAGGCTTAAAAAGTCCATCTATGGTTTAAAACAGGCTTCTCGACAATGGTATCTTAAGTTCCATGAAGTTTTAACAAACTTTGATTTTAAGGAAAATCTAGTGGATTCATGTATATACCTTAAGATCAGTGGGAGTAAGATCTGTATTATAGTGTTGTTGATTCGATTAAAAAACCTTTGAAAATTTACCGTGATAATGATGCAGCTATTCGATTCTCTAAGAATAACAAAACTACTGGAGGATCGAGGCATATTGATATCAAGTATCTTGCTGTGAGAGAAAGGGTTTTGAATCAAATTGTCTCAATTGAATATATCAGTACTACATTTATGTTAGCAAATCCATTGACAAAAGGTCTCTCACCTAAGCTCTTTAAGGATCATGTTGCGCATATGGGCTTAGTGGAAAGTCTTTTATGTTTGGGTTAAAAGTGTATTGATGTTTTTGGTGTGATCACATTATGTTTATGACAATATGATGATTATGTTGTGTTGCTTTCAACTTTTGTGCACATTTAAATATAAAAGCAATACTGGACCGTTAATGATGAATTAGCACTAATCACCATTACTTTGCTAATGCAATCAGTATTAGTTAAATCTCACTGATTCATGTTGATGAAGGTATTAATGCTATAACTATTGAATGGTCTTGAATCGATGAGTGATTCAATAACTACAATGGTTTGGCATTAGTAATTTCATTGAACAGAATCTAATGGAGATGGTGCAACCTCTTCTTTGGAAAAGTGTGATGGACATATTATGTGAATAATCTAATAAATGGTATAATTATGTAGGCCAAGTGGGAGATTGTTAGAAATTTATCTCTTTAATGTGGCCTTTACATTATTATACATATGATATATTAGATACTTCCATGAAGAAGGTTTTAAGAAATTAATTGGAAGGTGATCCAATATTAAGTGCACCTATATGAAAAACCAAAAGTGTAAAGATGGATACACTTCTAACGTGATTTGAGTTACATATATACTCTTTTATTTATTAAGTGATTAATACTTCACTAATGGAATTGGAGTTAATGGTCACTTAACGAAGAGTTAAGTGATTCTTTAATAACTCTTGAAGTTATTGTTCACTTAATGAACAATTAACGAAGAGTTAAAGTTAATAAAGAGTTAATGAAGTCTTTTGTAACTCTTGGTTTTCTTAGGTAAATTTAAAAGTCTTTGATGGAAAGACTAAAAAACTAAGGTTATATATAAAGGTTCCAAACCATACTCTCTGATGATGTGATTTGTGAAATAAAACACCACAATTAGTACCCATTAATTATAGAGAGAGAAGTGGTTTGAAGATCTTATAATTTTACATTGGTTATTCAGAATAGACAGAACCTAGCTTTTGGCTCAGTTTGAAGTTTAGTCAACATCAATAAGTAAGGTTCAAAATCTCTTACTCATAATGGATCAAGGTAAGATATGTACCACTTCTAAATTTTATAACTCATAGTGTTTCTGTGCATCAATGTTGAATCCTAATGGGCTAATTATTGTTAAAGTATTTCTTATTTGTCTAACAATTCATTCTTTGGTTGGATGCTCAATCTAAATTGCCAACCCTTGACAACAAGTCTATGGCCAAGCACCAAAACATATGTTCTTTGTGCAACATGTCACTTGAATCTCATGACCACTTACTTCTTAATTGCTCATTCATCTCTCCTATATGGCATTTTATCAAAGATAAGTGTAATATTTAGACAGCTATTACCAATTGGGAGAACCTTGTACAGTGGTCTAGTACTTAATGGAATGCAAATACATCTAAAAATCTACACAGGAAATTGGGTTTATCAGCTATGGTGTACCATACTTGGGAAGAAAGAATGCCAGAATCTTTAGAAGGAAGAAAGCTTCGCAGAAGGTTGTCTATGCCAAGATCTCTTCCACCATTGCTGCTATTTTGAAGCTTGGCTGTCTTAAGGATTGCTCGGCATCTAAATCTATCCTCATGGACTGGAACAGCTCACCATCTTCTACAAGACCTCCTCCGCGCCCTCCAGACTGAGTTATGGCGACTCAACCGCGAATTGATGTCACCAGATTGAGTTTGGCCTCCATTGATGACTGGTGTCGTTAATGGTAATTATTCATTTGGGATTAGGTCTTCCCTTGTTGGGCTGGTTTCTGTAGCTTCATGCTACTTTGGGCTTGTTATCTTTTATTGGGCCTAAGGGCTCTTGTATATATTCTTAATCTATGAAAATTGCTTTAATTTTCTAACAAAACAATTATCAATTTGGAAGAGATGATGGAATCGAGTGTTCATTTTGGCCGTGGTACTAGAAAATGGAATTCTAGAATGACACCTTATATCTCGGTAAAGCATAAAGGTATTCATATTACAAATCTTACTAGAACGGTTACATAAGAAATTAACATAAAAAGCACAGTTTTTGAGAGAGAGTAAAATTTCAGCATGTTTTATGCTAGAAATGTTTTGGAGAAAATCTATGAGATGCAAGAATTTTTTTTTCCTAAAAAAAATTCTCATTTTTTTATCTTTTCTCGTTACTTCACGATAACCAAACGAAGCCTTTGGCTATTATATGGAAAATAATAACTTTTCCCAACCACCTAATTTTGAAAATTATGTAAACTTACAATTATGCTATTTTCTATATTGTGTTTATGCATAATTTTTTTTTTTACTAGTGTAGTGCAATCTTTGTCATAATGTTCTGCAAATTTAATTATTTAGATTCTTGTATTTTTTTATTCTTAAAAAAGAAAAATCAAAATATTTATATATTTAGAAATATTATCCTTTTTAACAAAAAAAATAAGGACAATTTAAGTGAACAATAATATTTTCTTTTAAACTTTCTTGCCATCCAAATGATAAAATATATATATTTTTTTCACTTAAAAAAATTCATACTGATCAAATGATACTAAAAAATTGATTTTCCTTGCATTTTATTTTACTTTTTTTCACTTTCACATTCTACTATTAATTTCTATCTAACCAAACATACCCTAAAAAAGTATACTAGCAAAATCTTAAAATCAAAACAATATTGCCCAAAATGGGTCGAACTTTAACCTCTTCACAAAAGATTTTAATGTCAATTTAGAATCCTAACCTAGAATCCTCCCACCAACCTCCCACAACATCAAGGTTTGGAGAGATAACTTGAACAAAGGAACATTATAAATTTAAAAAGAAAAAGGAAAAATAATGCTTTACTGAGTGGGAAGAAAAAATCCCTCATAGAGGACAATTCGCAAAACGCACCTCAAAGAAAGCCAATGATTTTATAATACTTTGTTGTACCACAGGAATATCAAAATTGGCATTTCAAATTTGGTCCTTTTGGCATAAATGAATTTTGGGCTTTTGATTGAAGTTGGTATTAATTGGACTTCCACAACTGGCAATGGTAATGTCTGAAGCTTATTTTTTACTGAACAACTTTTGAAAAGACAGCAAAGTTGAAAGAGAGAAGCCTACAGTGGAGAGAAATCAAATCATCTTCAGCTTGCCATTATGATTTTTGTATGCTAAGAATCACTTTTTTTCTTTTTTCTTTTTTTTTTTTTTTTTTGGTAAATTAGCCTTTCCAATATTTATTCAAAGAGAAATTTCGAGCAGCCATTTATCCTCCGGAGGGACTGAAGCTACTTCTTGCTTGAAAGATATATGCCAGAGATTATGGCCACTCCGGCAACAGCAACTCCTAGAGTTGTAAAAATCTTCCCGGCAGAAACAGCAGGCTTTTTTGAAGGTAATTCTAGCAGATCCTTCAACTGCAACAGAATCAAAAAGAACTCATGAGTTAGAACATCTAAAGATATTTATGATTGAAAATCTAATTCAAAATCACTGAATTTGTGTTTCTTTTTCAGACTTAAAACGGATAAGCATGCAAAGGAAAGAAATGTTAGTCAAGAAGGCTTATTACAAAAATTAAAGCTGCATTGAAAAGAATTGAAAGAAGAAAAAAAGGGGATATGAAATAATCATTGCGGATGCATTGGGAGGACATCAAATGTTGTGTATAGGTATAGTCGGATTATGGAAAAGTATCTCCAAACCAGTCCAGCATGCATTTAGGCATTAATTGGTTGTTTCAGGGAAACTTTCTCGTCAAGGAAATGGTTACTAACCTGGACAGGTTGCTGCCAGTGTTTCTTAATTCCCTGCAGGTGCCCCTTTCCAACAACTGCAACAACTGAACTATGCTCGCTGGCAACTTTAAGTAATGTGGATGACATGTACCTGGATATAAGATAAGTCTGTGGGAATAATACAATAATTTCGCAAAATAAAATGTACAAGTAACAATATAACCAAATAAGATATATACACGAGACAACAAAGATGAACAATTAATAAATAAGAAGAACAATCCGCGAACAAGAGTATAGTTCACATTGCAGTTTCTTCAGAGAAATCACTTTTAGGGAATTTTTCCAGTTAGCACCATTATTTTTGAACAGGTATCCAATAATTTTATTATTATTCTTTTTCTTTTTCTTTTTTTCCTTTCTGGCCTACACCTCGTCATGCCGTGTTTATTTGGAGAGACGTGAGAAAGGGCAATCACAATTACACTTACACCGACAACATTTCAAATATCATTGCATTTAAAACTTCAATAAGTCGATGCATGCTGCAACTCTTTCATGAGTGTGGAGCTGCACATGGGTTAGAAAGAAGCTCTATCATCTAAAAGTCTGTATATCAATCTCCATCAAAACCAGACATGTGAGATGCATTTTGGATAGTCTCAACTAGTAACAAATGTCAATTACAGTAGCATAATTTATATCAAGGCCATCTCATTTACCTGTAATCAGGATTCTACAAATCTACCTTGAATTAATTAAAATCCTATAATCCACAACAGCTTAATTCCTTTCCTTAAATCTCACTTATTTAACTAAATTAAGGGAAATAAGTGAATGAAACAGATGTAAACAGGAAAAAAATAATAAGAAAAATAAGATATACAGAAGCAAAAGTTACTAACTGATCTCGCTCATGTACAAGGGTTTCCATCAGAGTAGGGAACTCCTTGCTCATCTCTTGAATTACAAGAGTCAACATGTCGGCATCATCCATTTCCTTCAGCTGGACAAGCAAAATAAAATTATGACTAAATTTAAGAACATCACATGAACTATTTTTTCAATTTTCAATTCTATTACACAGATAAAACCTTCCTTTTACTGATGATGAATATATAAAGATAAGAAAGCTTACCATTTTATTGAGAGCTTCAGTACTTGGTAGAAAGAAAGCTTGGAAAAGTAGGGAGTATACTAATTTCGTCTTATGCCAAAGCGGCATTCTTCCCCAGGTCCTCAGTAATGTTATCTATTCAGTCGCAATCAAAACTTTAGTTCAGTTTGTTCGCAATGAAAACTTCAATTACAGTAGTATAAGAAGAAATGATTCATAAAATAATGAAGATGGAAAACAATAACAGTTACACAAGTCATAAAAGTGAACATTGTGGATTAGAATTGAATCACCAACATACAGATTCAAAACACATAGAAGAGATAAATATATATCGTACACAAATAGACCAAAATAACCAGATTCCAAAAAGAAGGGGCAAAAGAAATAGCAAAATCAGGAGTATCAGAAAGAACAATGCTATTCAAAATAGAACCACGAAGGGATGCTTTAAACTCAAACCAAAAATATGACCTTTCTCAAGCAAGAGGACACTAAGAATTCATCCTTGGAAATTGAAGCTAAAAGGGAGTGCCCTTGCAGAGGTAATCCGGAGTTCCAAAGACCACGAAGACACCAGAAGAAATAACGGAGAAGGGCAGATATTGAATCAAGTTAGAAGGTTTGAAGAGTGCGTCTGGACTGAAGGAGCTTGAAATAAAGGAAAGGAAAACAATGGATAGCTTATCACATGTTTGATTTTAAACGAGGGAGGGGTGTTTTTACTATCCTTCTATATGTGGGAGGATTTGGAGGGAAAGGATAAGGGTGTTTGTAATTGCACATTATCCCTGTTTCTTATAACAAGTGATTCATGTTCAACACTTTCTACTTACATGATAAGACTACCCTAATTGCACATTATCCCTGTTTCTTATAACAAGTGATTCATGTTCAACACTTTCTACACTCTCCACAAGCGAATGCCGCAGCAAACGGGGGGATGGACTTTAAACTTTTGTATTGATTCACAGCCATCCTATTAGGGTAGCAACAGGGTCAAAAACATTCTTAGTGTACCATTTTGATTTGGGTACCGGCAAAATGTGGTGTCTACATTAAGAAGCCATAAAAAAATGCAAAATTTCTAATTTCCAACAATTGAAAAAACTATGAAGCAAAAGGTATCTTACTTGTACTGGGCGATCACCAAGTATCACCTTGCCACCGTACTTCATTGCTTCTTCAAATGCCAAACGAAACTCAGAACCAGGGAAAACCTCAAGCTTATTAGCAACCTAACAAAAATAAATGGTGTATGAGAAAAAATTAAGAAGAAGAACAACAACAAAAAAAATAAAAACAACAAGGAGAAGAAGGAAAAATAATGATCATGTTATACTATTCTTAAAATGAAGAAGGAATAATACAAAATTCTGCAACAACATAAATAAATGTGTGAGTCATAATTATCATGCCTTGGCAAGAAACCAGCTGTAGAGTATTCCAAAGAGGTTATGCTTTTTCTTCCACATATCCACCATTTCTCCCATAGTTGGTACCTGAGAAACTAAATTTTGAGTAGAGGTCCAAGTGAAATTTTAAATCGCCAGTGGTACCACAGAGGTATATAAATAAACTATTTTGAATTTAATAAACAAAAGAAAGAAAATCAAGCAACCATTCAAAGTACATGGGGCTAATCAACCAACCAACCAACCCACCTGATTCAGGGGTATAATTCAAAATGTAATGGCTCAAAATGTAATGGTTTGACCATCACATTTCTGCTGAAAGTACATATATACTCAAGAAAAAGAAACACAAACATTGTGCTCGTTAAAAGAAAGTTTTCAGTGCATGTTCTTTCCGTAGGCAATAGTAAACCTAAAACACAAGTAATTGACTTCTAAAATCACGTAGACATTATGGAAAGCAACTAGGACACAAATTTCACTTTATTAAGCCTAAAAATTGCTAAATATAACAAGAAAATAGAAACTAAAATAGAAATTAATCAAATATAAAAGAAAAGGCTCATCTTTCATGCATACAGGATATACAAAATGTAGTTTTTAAGACATATGATTGACCCTTATTAGATAATGTTTAATAAAGTTAGTAATATCCAACAAGGGATAAATGCCTAGTGCAGTGATGAAAACTTGGGCCGGCAAGCATGAGAAGGCAATACAAATATGAACACAACCACTTGTGCAAATAATGCCAAAAGTTAGGTCCATGCTCAGCTTACTCCTCCCAGCACCGTTGCTGGGTATGACCTTTTTAGGTTACTAAGTCGAAAAGTGCATTACCAGGGAAGGACAATTATGAGCTTTTTTATGTATATCTAGTTCAACAACAATATGTGTCTTTTATAAAAGAGATTAAGAAACACTTGGAAATGTATGTATAGCTTTCGTTCTGCATAGTAAGCCATACAAGTCTTTGATAGTTTAGTCAGTTGACAAAAATAAAGTACAAGTCAATGCTGAGCAGTACTATTAACTAATAAATTTCGTATCTATACAATCATTTAATTATTAGAGAGCTGACTCTAGTAAACATGCTTGATGGCCTCGAAGGCTGGAGATCAAACCTACATTCGAAGAAGAGGACATTAGTTCCTTCCAAAAAATCCGATAAGCCCTATAATAATAATAATAATAAATATTCCTTGAACAGAGAAGAGAAGAGAAAAGAAAAATAAGTAGTTATTGCTATTTTTTATTTGTTCGAAATCCAAAAGTATGAACTAAGCACAAATTGAAGTCCGAAGGTTGACTACAGAGATCACCTATGCATTAAGGCAAAAGAGTTTCGTGGAGCTTCATATTTAGTTGTTGTAGAAAATAGAATCATTCTAAGGGAAGGGGAGGGGAAATGACACAATAAAGGTCTCTCATTACAGAAGTTACGAACACTTGTCATCCTTGTAAAGTTGTAATCATTGGAAACCAATTTAGCCCAGAAGATAGTCATTAAAAACTAATAAAAGAAATAACAGATAAAAAGAGAAATGAAGAAAAATATGAAAGACACAACAGACCTTTAAATTCTGAGGGGTAAGTATAGCCACACGACTTGAGCACAACTCCAAGTAAACAACCTGTGGTCAATGAATTCAAACTGAGCTTGAAGGCAACATATCAAGATGAATGCATTACATAAAATAATATAAAGCAGGCAGCTAACCTGCTAGATTATCCGTCCATAAATCAAATTTTTATGAGTTCTAAAAGAGAAGCACCTGTGGTTTTAAGAAACTAATTACAGCTTGAACTTCTTGGCAGGATTCCTACAACCGCACAAACAGAGATTACATCAGTTCTTTCTTTATTTGTCTTGGTATACAAATTAGATTAAGAAGATGGAAGTGTCATTATGAATCACCAATAAATCATGACTTCATGATGTTTTGTTCCAAAATTAAAAACAAGAAGATAAATCATTTAAAAAATAAGAATTAAAAATAAGTACAATATGGAATCATGACTTCTTTGTATAAATATTCTTAAAAACCTTTTCAGAAAAATAAAATAAAATGAAATCTACAAGAAGCTAATTATTGTCACCAGTGTTGAAGTACAAAAAAAATAAATAAATTGGCCGTCATTTTGCACCTAATGCGGTTTTTTTGGGCAGAAGTTGAACCACCTTAAACTGTGTGTCCCTCCTCGTCCAAGAGTATGACTTAAAACCCATTGGAATCATCTTAAGCTCACCGGGTTTTGGGTTTTTTATACAGCCTCTGATGCATCTCTAGATTCCAGAAGAAAAAAATTCCTGGAAAACATGAGAGATTACAAAGAATGCTGATTTTTTATTTTTTTATTTTTTATTTTTTAAAAAAAGGTACTAAAGGATCGGTTATAAATTATAATGATCTTTGGTGAACATCTACACATCCGGGAGCTTAATAAAGATATAAGAAACAAATTTCTGGTAATTATAATGAATTGTCTCTATCTCGTGACATGATAGCATATTTCCAAAAATGCTATAAATCTCAATGTAGAATAAACCACAATCGAACTAAATTTTTATAAATACTATAAATATGCGATCAAGGAAGCCCCAAAAAACACTCTTTTTTTTTCTAATCAAGAGAAGCCCAAAAGCACAAGTTACCGATTCACAGACCATCATATTTTCTTAGTAAAAGTAAAAATTTAAAAATAATAATAATAATCCAGCCGCCAACCAGAAAAAAACAACATAGTATGATAATTGACAGCATTTCTAGAACTAAAAATAGCAAATTTTATGTAAACACATAAAAGTTCATGATATGCACACAGCTGTTAGAATATAAATTTTCAGTTTTGAACTACTCGAGTCTCCATAGATCAAACATCAAAGTAGCAATTTCAACTCTTCTCAGATCAAAACAACTGGTGATTTAGAGGTCCCTTAGGTTTCAGAGAAAATGCAGGAAAAGAGTATACTTGGCAATTTGAAAATTTCTTCATACTGAAGTGTGATTCTTCGATGATTATTTGGAGTACTCAGTCAAATTTTAAATTTCCCAACATCTTAACTACATGAAAAATATAAAAACCAGAGCTATCATATTTATATCCTTTTCTTCAATTTTCTAGATAACAAAAGGGAAGGCCAATTATAGAAAATCAATTGAATTTTACCATAGAAACGTGAGCAGTTCCAACCAAATAAACGTCGCAATTCCCGCCTTCGGCCGATGATTCGCATGAAAGCATCATCACATTCTTCGAAAGCTCCTCAGGAAGAACCTTACTTCGATCAGATTCACCTTCATCGTTGGCAGACTCATTCTCTCCTCTGTCGTCATTCAGAACGCTTTCCTCCAAACTTTCAAAATTAGGGTTAGGGCTTGGGTCATCGACGTGGACAAATTCCTCGACGGCGGGTGCATCGGACTCCGGCGGACGTGACGCGTCGACATCCATCGCCGTGCACAGTAGTAGGTCAGGTCTACGGCGGCCGCAGCTGGTGGTGGTTAAAGGTGAGATTCGGAGAGGTTGTTTGGGTGGGGGGTGCCTGTGCTTTGATTTAGCGCTAACGGAGGATACACCGGCGAGAGATCTGACCGTTGGATTGCGAGGGAGTCGTGCTGTGACGAAGATGTGGGTCAGAGGCGAGAGTTTGAGAATCATAAAATTTAGTGTGGTTCACCGTAGCACAACTGTGTATTGATGTACAAATTATACTTTCCTTATATGCCGTTGGTTGGGCACGTATAACTCACTTGCCTTGGTGTCACCATTTTCACACGAACTATTGAATTTCAGTTGTACTCTTGTGACCGCGGGCAAAAGTGTATTAAACACCCCCTGACAATGAGTTCTAAAATTCAACTCGGTTTGTTTTTTCTTTTTTAGTTAACTCAAAATAAAAAACGTAGTAAATATTTTATTGTACGGTGTTTTAAATAGTAATTTAAAATATGTTTAATAATATTTATTTATTATAAAATTTTTGGAAATAAAAACATAAATAAAAAAGTGTCAAGTTTTAAAAATACAATGACAAGGTTGAAAAGGTCATTAAGAGTTTTTCAAAAAAAAAATTGGATATTGTTCATTGCTACAATATTGTTGCTACATTATGGAAACGTATAAAAACACTAAATTGATGTTTTGACTTTTGGCCAATATTGTACAAAACAAAAAAAAATTTACTAAACTATTTTTCCCACTGTTCACTCTACATACTCAACAAAAACCAAAAAAAAAAAAAAAAACAAAAACAAAACACATACTAAACGGACTGTAAATATTTTAATTGAGTTCTTTAATTTTTTTTTTTAAAAATAATATGTAATCCAATTTGGAACTAATTCGATTACTTATATATAAGTGGAATATGATATTTTCATTAAAAGGTTTACATTTCTTTTCTTTTCATTGGCGAAAAATTTGCACACGTTACTTACACACTCACTTTGTCCCTTTGAAAATACAAATCATCACCATCCAAAGTTTGTGAGATAAAGGAAATATCACTGAGTCGCAAGACCCTTAGTTATTAAAAGGTTCACATTACACCTTTGAAACCAGAATGAAATAGATAAAATTATATTAAAATATTCACTAGTTAAAATATATAAATGTGAAATGACTTATTTAATCCTTACTTTTTCAATGTTTCTTTATCGTTTCTTTATTTTGTTAAATTTTTGTCGCGAGATTAAGTCAAATCTCACATAAATAAATATTTTGATATTTCATAAATAAATATTTATGAAATATCATTTATTTAATATATATTAATTAAAAAATATATTTTTTAAAGACAAATGTCCCCTTAATTATAAGATAAAATATGTATCTTTAATATATATATATATATATATATATATATTTACACGCGTGCATATATATATATGTAAGATTGATTTTTTTTTTTTTTTTTCCTTCTTTATTCTCTCTCTCATCTCTGTCCCTAACTCTCTCGGTAGACAATATGAGTTACAGACCAACCCAGAGCCCTACTCCTCCACCACTAAAGCTCTGCTCGAGCTCGAAACTAACGGCAACAAAATCCTTTCTGATGACCCTTAGCTCTTTACCCTCTCTCACCACCTCACCAACTTCAAATCCATACTCGACAAGTTAAAATAATCTCGAGTCTTCAATCGTTCCTCACTCGCCAAGTCACCACCCACGAGATTCCTAAGTTGTCGGCTCTATCGAGTCAGAGATCCAAGACTGGATTGATCACCAAACCATCGAGAATCTTATTCGATTAATAATGATGTTGTTGGTACAAAGATGCTTCAACCTTGTACTCCTTGCAGTTTTGATGATAACAACAAATAAGAAAGTGCATTTAATATCTTTTCTAAAGATGTAGCAACATGAATGATCATAAGCTAGAGCAAGGGTGTGTTTTGGAAAGGAAAGCACAAAGAAAGAATATGCAAAACTCGTCAAAGCAGTAGTATAGAATGGTGAGAGTTAGATCACTTGTAAATCATTAGTTTATAGCATTTGGTCCTGGATTCACTAATTTCATGCATTACATCTAATAAAAAGGTTATAAAACATTACACAAATGATTGAGTTTTCACATATCATCTAACCGAACAGATGATAGGAAGTTATCGTTGAGATTATCTAAAACATATACTATATTTTCAGCACTAGCCAAATAACCAATCAGATCACAAAGTATCCGATCAGATGGTGCCATGTAACCGAACATATTGCTTAATGTTATCATTTAGATGACCATAATAGAAAGATGTAATATCTGCTATGTCATCTAACCGATCAGACTGTCACTCGTGTTTGAACTGTTCATATAAAGCAACCAATCAGATCACCCCATGTATTCGATAAGACGACAAAAACAGAAGAGCAACTGATTATCATAGTTTGTCATGTAATTGCACAGATTGCTGATCTAACCGATCAGATGGACCTAAGCTATCGATCAGATGAAACATATATCCGATCACTTGAAGATCCAGGATCTAATCCTATCGAACATAACTGGGATTTAACCGATCAGATGAGTGCAAGTGACTGTACATATGATACATGTAACCGATCAAATGAGTTAAAATTTTAGATTTGGAATAATTAATTCATATCAAACGGTAATATTGGCATTAATTCACATTTCTATTTTATGCCACACATATCATCTATAAATGATCATCATTAGGTTCTTATGAATCTATTATCGCTTTAAGAGAGAAAACCATTTTTCAAAAAAAAAACATTCAAGCAATCATATTTATTGTTTCATTTATTCATTGAATCCTATTAAGCTTTGATTTTCTGCTATATTCTAATACGCCATAGGATTGTGAGCTTTGATTTGCATATTAAATCTTTGAGAATTTCTTTCTGATTCAATCTTTTATATTCAATCAATTGTAAGGGTTGATATAACCCAGTAGAAGTCTAAGAGAGAATTATTCTCTTAGCAAGAAGAAGTTGAACCCGTGAGTTTCTTGTACCGGTTTGCTCTCCACCCATAAGGAAGTGCCATAGTGGGTATTGGAAAGTCTCAAGAGAGATTTTGAGCCGAAGAGTAGGAGTTACCGAATCTCGCTGAATCACTATATTAATTTATCTGATCCAAACTATTAATTGAAGTGCACAATTGAAATTTGAATTATTTGGTATCGTATTGATAAGTCTCTATTCACCCCCCTACAGAGTTATTTACTAGGTAACAGATGTGTTCGTTGGACAAGTGTTGATGGGTCAAACAATTCGAGCCCTAATTTTGATTGGGTCACTGTCATCGCTAAAAGTCTATTGAGAATATATTAATGGATGAATTTTAATAGAATTATAGCATTCCCAAAATTATAATATATATATTGAAACAGAGCTTATATGGATGGCAACGGGCCGGGTTTGGAACGGGTTTGTCTAAACCCATCTCACCCCCTTCTGATTATCTATAAACCCGTACTCGGGACTAGTTGAATTTTCACAATCCATCCCCTCCCCGTTAAGAGATGGTTGTACCTGTGCTGCCCCGCCCTGCCCCGTTAATATTTTTCTTCCAACTAATGTAAAGGAAAAATAATAAACCAATCCAAACTCTTTCAAATAAGATATTGAATCTTAATAAAATAATAAATCGATCCAAACTCTTTCAAAGAAGGTATTGAATCTTAATAAGCATAATCTGTAAGTGGAACACTATAGACCAAAAAAAAAAAAAAAAAAAAAATTATATGAACATTTGGCATATGCATACCTATATATAAGCTCAAAACTATACAAATTATATAACTATGGACGGATAGAAAGAATCCATAAAAATAACATGGATAGTGAGATTTAATTATAATAAGAAGAAAGCTAGTTATAGGCCAGTATACAAGAAATCTTTTAACAAAAAATCCACTATTCACAAAAACTTCAAATCGATTAGAGGAAAACTTCAATCCAGTGCCCTAAAATAATGAATGGAAGTTGTTCTTACATTATTTGAATGGGAGGATGACTCGCATGCCCCTAGACCACCTCCTTGTCCACCACCGAATTGACGTCCCTGTGTTGAGATTGTGATCATGCCCTGTTGCGATCCATTGAGATGGTGATACCTTTATGTTGACTGAAATGATTTCATTTGTTTGGGTGGAATATCTTGGGCAGTGTTCGGACCTTTGAGCCTTGTAATGTTATTTTCATTTTGGCATTTTGAAATGTATTTGGCAGCGTTTCATCATGCATTTAAGTGTTATTTTTGGCCCTTTGAAGCCACCGTGGACACTAAAGAATTATATATGGCATGGCGGGGCGTGTGGGTGTTTATCAGAACCCGTCCCTGCCCTGTGATGGGTTTCAATATTATACTCGTACCCGTCCCTTCGGTATAAAAATAATTCTTGTATCCGTGTTTAACGGGGCGAGGTTGTACAAATTGCCATCTTTAAAAGCTCATTGAAGATAAAGTAATGGTGAACTCCATTGAAGACCCCAAAATAGATAACTTCATAACAGGGATTATCCATTGTGCCTCAGTCCAGCGTGCTTGAGTTCAGGTGAACCTCAATTTTAGTATGCCTCAGTCTGGCGATGAGTAGAGAAATCGACAACAAAAAAGCCACAAAGGCCACGCATTTGAAGCTACAGTGACCCAATCGATGAAGTTTCAGCGATCGGACTAGAGATGTACATAAAGCTCCATTAAAAATGAAGCAACATATATATATATATAAACCCATCTCATTCTTTAATTGTTATATACAAGAAAAATATGGGTTTTGTAAATGGTGGTAATGACCCCAATTATGATGATGTTGGTGTGTTGGACTCCATAATGATAGTGGTGGTTGTGGGGTGGGGATGGTAGTGGAGATGCTGCCGATCGTGGTGGTGTGGATGTGCCAGAATACACTGATTTGGTGGGTTGTTGTAATAGTAATGATGGGATAAACATGATGGTAAAATTATAAATAATATATAGGGTATTGTAGTTTTTTACATCATTTTTTGTGTTTTGACAAAGTCGAAGGTATTAAAGTCATTTTACATAGTGTCGGACCTCTATAGGTATTAGTGAAATAAGGATCAAATAATCTATGTGAGATTTGACCTAGCCTAAAAAGAGTTTAGTCAAATTTGGAGAGATCCATGCCAAATTTTGAGAGTACAACTTAAATAAAAAAAAGGGTAAAATACAATATAAAAAAAACCTTGAACTATTAATCAATCTGCAACAAACCCCCCCGAATTA